GAGCTGCAGTTTTTATATACATGCATAACATGGTCACTTTTCAGTTGTCCATACTAATAGACAGGTGGTTATAGCTTTTGGTACACGCTTGAAATACAGATATTCTGATGCCTTGATAATTCTCATTACAAATAGAAAAAAATCAGTCTCAGGTGGCACCTGTGGCTCAAAGGAGTAGGGCACTGGCCCCATATGCCAGAGATGATGGGTTCAAACCCAGCCCCGGCCAAAAACTGCAACAAAAAAAAAATTTAGTCTCACAATTATGTACCTGTATCTCCTTCATCATTGAATTTAGTAAATTAAATAATGTCTAATACATACAAGGGAAATCAATGTTACTAATATGAAGGTTACACTCACATTTGGTTTAAAAATATCTATGAAAAGAACTTTTTGTTGGAAAGCAAGAAAAGTGGCTCAAAATATTACTCCATTTATCCCTGTGTTAAAAGAGAATTGAAGACACTTGGTTTAGCTCCTAAAAGCTATAGAGGGCGTTGTTAATGCAACAATCCTGAAACTAAATACAAGAAGGATAGTAAGAGACTAGTGCACCATCAACGCTAAGGGAAAATAAAGGCCCATGCACTAACTTTCCTGTCGTCTTGATTTCCAGACCCTTCCAAGTACATCTAATGAAAGCCATGATCACATGGATGACGAAGATGATGATGACCACGTGGACAGCCACGAATCAGACGACTCTGATGACACCGATAACCCCGACGATTCCCACCATTCTGATGAGTCTCACCACTCTGATGAATCCGACGAGATGGTCACTGCTAATTTTCCCACTGATGTTCCTACTCCAACTGTCCCTACAGAAAACATATATGATGGCCGAGGTGACAGCATACCTTATGGACTGAGGTCAAAATCCAAGAAGTTCCGCAGACTTGACATCCAGGTAAATCCTTAGCAGACACATCTGATGGTTCTAACTAGAGCTCAGTTCTAGAAAACCAGAATCTGCATAGTCATTCATTCATTCATTGACTCAGCAAGCATTGATTAGTAATCTATTTTATGACCACTCAACACAAAATCTTTTTCTACCTAGTGGTTTCTGTTTAAACCCAGATAATTTCTTCCGAATTTTGTCTCTCAAACATTCAACATTTCCAAATTCCTGACTCTAAAGCCTTTATTGTACTCACTTTTCTTAAATCTAAAAAATACTAGACAATAGCAATTATTTTCAAAATGTCATGATCGTGTTTTAAAGTTAAATATCTAAGAGGAATTGTAGAGTTCCAAGTTACACTGACTATATAATCAAAGAATCTGGGTTTGACATAGCTGTGATATTCACTATTCATTTACTTAACTTTCAGTTCACTTTCCATTTATACAGAACAGACGTATTGAGACCTACTTAGTAGGTTTAATTACATACACAAGTGATGTACCTATTGAACTAAAGGAGATGGCGTGTATTAAAGAGCTTGGTAAAGTACGAAGTAATACGCTGGTATTATTTCAGTCAAAGTTAAACAATGTTCAATAGAAACTGGCCTAAGAGAGCAGAAAAGAATTACATTGTTCCCATCCCTGGCTGTTCATGTAATTCCTCTTCCTTTTGGGCTCTAATTCAGATTCCTGATGAGACCCAGGAGGACTTCACCTCATATGTGGAAAGTGAAGAGTTGGGTCATGGGCCCAAGGTCATTGCTTTCAACCAGGGCCTGAAGGTGCCTTCTGATCTGGACAGCCATGAAACCAGTCACGACCTAAGTACAGAAACCCACAGCAAGGAGCCTTCTGACATGATTGTTAGTCAGGAACATTCCCACGTCAGCCTTGAAGTCACCAGCCACGAAGACCTCGAGAGTAAGGAAGAAGATAAACTCCTGAAATTTCGTGTTTCTCATGAATTAGATAGTGCATCTTCTGAGGTCAATTAGAAGGAGGAAAAAAATACAGTTTCTCACTTCGCTTTTAGTAAAAAGAATGCATTGTTGCAGGAAGTGAGAATCTGGCATGCTTATTTCTCAGATTAGTGGGTGAATGTACATGCATATGAATCTGGAGATAGATGTGTTTGATCATTAGTGTAGATTGTGGCTTCATGGTAACACCCTTGTATAAACCAAAAGCTCCGTAGAAGAAATGCCAACGGTCACTGCATTTTAATGTTTGTCATACTTTTATGAATAAACTTTATGTAGAAGCAAACAAAACACTTTTACACAAGAGATTATAACATGTCACTAAAGTCCTTTATTTTTAAATTAGTATATATTTTGTTGTGATTATCTTTGTTGGTGTGAATAAATCTTATATCATGAATGTAATAAGAATTTGGTGGTGTCAGTTGTTTTTCTTTCTCTTTTTCTCCCCACCCCCTGAGTGAAACCAGAATCAATTGCTTTTCTTATTTGGTTTCCCACAGGTGTCCAGTAATTAATAAAATGCAACCTTTTCTTACTGCCCATGTATTATTTTTTAAAGTTTTATTTGGTATAAGTGAGACCATCAGCAATTTTCCTTCCATACTTGGCTTATTTTACTTAACATAATGTCCTCTAAGTCCGTCCATATTGTCACACGTAACAGGAGATCTGATACATGCATAGGGGGTTAAAATCCACAACATATAAGGAACTCAAACAACTCCAGGGCAGAGGAATTAAATAAGTAAAATGGGCCAAAATCTGAATAGGCTTTTCTCAGTACAAGACATACAAATGGCCAATGGGGATATGTAAACTGCTCAACATCATTAATCAGGGAAACTGAATGAAGCACCAACTCACCCCAGTTAAAATGGTTGTTACCAAAAAGACAACAACAACAAAAAAACAGATGCTGGCCAAGATACAGAGAAAGGGAAATGTTTGTACACTGCTGATGGGAATGTAAATTAGTCATGCCACGATGGCGAACAATATGGAGGTTTCTCAGAAAAGTAAAAATAGAATTACCATAGGGTTCAGCAGTTCTGCTGAGTCTGTATCCAAAAACAAAGGGGGGGGATCAGTGTATCAGAGAGATCTCTGCAGCCCCATGTTTATTGCAACACTATTCACAGTAGCCAGACATGGAATCAACCTAAGTGTCCAAAAAGGGGCAAATAAAGAAAATGTGGTATATGTACACGATGGAATATTATTCAAACAAAAAACAATGAAATCCTAGAATTGGAGGTCATTATGGTAAGTGAAATAGGACTGGCACAGAAAGACAAACATC